CTTGTAAACTAAAAATAACAAAACAAAATGTTTCAACAGAAACATTCTAGATAGTGGAATAAATAGACAAAGAGATGAGAAAAGATGACAAATTAGAGGATTAATCCAAAGGGAACAGAGGAACAGACTCTGACTAATTCTAAGAGTATCACTAAGACAGAACATGAAAACAGAGAAGAGGAAATAGCCTTTGAAGTAATTCAAGAGAATATCCAAAGCTGGGCGTGGTGGTACATACCTGTAATGATTTGGGAGGGGAGACTGAAGCAGGAGGATCAAGCAATTTAGTGAGACCCTATCTCAAAATAAAAAATAAATAGGGATAAGGATGTAGCTCAATAGTAAAGCGCCCCTGGTTTCAATCCTTGGTATCAAAAAAAAAAAAAAAAACTAGCCAAAATTCAAGGATGGTTTTTTAGATTGATAGGGACCATGAATGCTTACTTCAGTAGGTAGAAAATGCCCCTAACAGAGATAAAACTTTCAGAAAAACCAGAAACCTGGTCTGCTGCCAAGAACTGAGAATCAGAAGGGAGGTTTAGAAGCACTAGAAGCTACAGGACAATGAATCAAGGCCTTCAAAATTCTGAGAATTCTACAGCCAGGCAAACTCAAGTGTCAGAGTAGATTTAAGATATATTAAGATACACAGGTCTCAAATGTATAGCTTTGAATCCTTTTTTGAGAAAATTACTAGAAGAATGTGATCCAACTAACCGAAGGAATAAAACAAAAAAGAAAACTGGAATATCAGGAAAGAGAAGATAGCACATAGGAGAGGAATTAGAGAAGTTGTAAGAATTTAGAACAAGAAGATTGAGACTCCAGAAGCATTGTTTGTAGTTGAAAAGTAGAATTGGGGGGAATCCAAGATGTCACTGACTTTCTGAACAGCGCTTGTCAGAGGTTTACAGTTGTGTAGAAAAGTTGGGGAAAATCAAAGATTAAATAAAACAAAACTGAGCCCATTTGTTTAAAAAAAAGACAACTTTTTATTCCAGACAGTTCAAAAAGGTTTTACAATAAGGCAAATATAACTATAGTCTTTTTCTTGACATACATAGCCCCGTAATGAAACTATAATTAGATAGAAATAGGAAAAGTGGGAGTCTGAAGTGATATAAACATGGTAAATCTTTACCTTCTTAATTGAAAAGTGAAAAGATAAATTCTAGCCAAGCATACATATAATCCCAGTGATTTGGGAGGCTGAGGTGGGAGGATAGCAAGTTAGAGGTCAATCTTGGCAATTTAGTGAGACCCTATCGCGAAATAAAAATTGAAAAAAGGTTTGGGGTGCAGCTCAATGGTAAGACACCCCTGGGTTCAATCCCTAGTAACACACACACACACACACACACAAATCCTAAAATCGGTATATCAAGAAATAGCCAACATGCTGGGCACAGTGATACACCCTTATAATCCACACTACTCAGGAGGTTAAGGCAGAAGTATCACAAATTCAACACCAGTCTGGCAACTTAGTGAGACTTGGTCTCTAAAGAAAACAAGGATTAAGGATGTAGCTCAATGGTAGAGCACTGGCCTCGTATGCCTAAGGCCCTGAATTCAGGCTCAAGTATAGCAAAACAAAGGGAAAAGGAAGAAATATATGCATATTTAGAAATATAAAGGTAAATATAGAAGAAACATGTCTTTAAAATGGGGAAATGAGACTCAGGGTTAAAGTAGGGTAGGTAATAGATTCCTTGTTTTCAATCTAATCTTTGTAGTATTTTTTAAAAATATATGTATATTTTTAAAGTTATTATTTAAAAATATAATCATTATTTTGGTTAAAAGAGTATTTTCCAGAAGCCTAGAGACTCCAACTTCTAGTCCTACCTCAGTTATCGTTCTGCTTAGCCTTGGCCCTATCTAATTAAGTACCTTCTGGTAGGTATTTGGAGTATGTATTTGGAATGAAAATTTTCTAAAAATTCAAGAGTCTGCTGGCCATGGTGGTTCATGTCTGTAATCCCAGTGACTTTCATCTAGGCTGAGGTGGAAGATCACTTAAGTCCATATGTTTAAGACCAACTTGGGCAACATATTGAGATCCTGTCTCAAAGTTATGGTTGATATGTAAGCAAAAGTAGTTGCCACCTGCCTTCATGGTAATGTTTCCTAATTTCTCTCTAAAAAAAAATATGAGTTCCTGTTGTATTAATTACCTACCACTGTGTAACAAAGTTAGTGACTTAAAATAACAAACAAAATTTGTTGTCTTACTTTTTTTATGAGCCAGTGATTTAGGAGCTGCTGTCCTGGGTTGTATGACTCAGTCTCATGCTGTTGCAATCACAACTAGGCCTACAGTCATCTGAAGTCATACTAGGGCTGAGTGATCCACTACCAAGACAGCTCACTCACTCACACACCTGTTGACAGGAGGCCTTGTGGGTCCTTACTGGCTGTGGGCCTTTCTGTAGGTCTGCTGATACATCCTCTTGGCATGGAGCTGGCTCCCCAGAGGGAGTGCTCTGAGGGAGAAGAGGAAGGCATAATACTTTTTATGACCTTGTCTCAATAGATGCCACACTGTCACTTCTGCTTTATTCTATTCATCATAACAAGTCACTAAGACAGCCTGCATGTGGTGGCGAATACTTGTAATCCCAGTGAGTTGGAGGTTGAGACAGGAGGATTGAAAGTTCAAGGCCTTCCTCAGAAATTTAGTGTGGCCCCAAGTAACTTAGCAAGACCTCGTCTCAAAATAAAAAATAATAAAAAGGACTGGGGATGTAGCTTAGTGGTTAAGCGCCCCCCACCTTCAATCCCTTGTATTAAAAAAAAAAAAAAAAAGATACTAGTCTGGGAAGAGGAATTAGGCTTAAAGTAGAAGCAAACAAACAAACAAAAAAATGTGTACATATTTTGAAACCAGCACACCAATCCGTGCTGGATTGTAGGAGAGTAGATTGGGAGACTATCCTTACATGATTTATGAATGCCTAAATCTAGCTCATCACTTTTTGTTATGATATTACTCTTTATGACTCCAAAATAAACTGATATTGCCCTACCTTCCTACATCACTTCTATTCTGATATTTAAAACTCCTTGAGTACCAGTGACATTTCTTGTCTTTTTTTGTGTGTGTGTATTTCTGCTTAACCTATTTATAATAGTGCTTGAAATATTCTTTCATTCTGTATATGTGAATACACTTACATGTAAGTCTCCTAATCTACTTATATATGCACATATACATATGTATATATCTATATCCATCCATCTATCTATCTATCTATATATATATATGTATATATATATATATATATATATATATATATATATATATACATATATATATATAGTGTTTTTAGACACTGTGCTATATACCAGTAATATAGTCATGAGCAATACATAGTCACAATCCTTGTGTAAATTCTTGGGCTTAGTCTACTGGGGAAGGGGAAGACACTAAAGGTTTCATCACATTTGTGAACATATAATTACAAATTGAACTACATTTGCTGATGGAGAGAAATATAGTCTTATAGGTGCATATAAAATAGGAACAGGGTTAGTATAGCCAAAATAGGTGAAAATAGAAAGTTCATCAGAAATTGAATTTTGCCAAATGGGTAAAAGAAAAAGAACAAGGTTCCAAGGAAGTTACAATATTGGTAAGAGTGATGTTAAAATACGTCGCTAGTATGTGCTCATATTTGTTGATTTGAACCAAAACTGACCTTTTTTCTTTGCCTTATCTTCCCTTCTTCTTGATATCAGAGGTGATATATTTTGGTATGGACAGACTAGTCTAACCAGAGTAGTTATAACTGAGTGGGAGAAAGAACTATCTCTGCCCACTTCATCTTGTTTACTGTCTACTGCAAACAAAGAAGTCATATTTTAAAAAAATATTCACACATTACCCATATGATTTTTTTCTAATAAATTTGAAGACATCCTTTCTGTGACATTTGATAATTCACATAAATTTGCACCTTATTTGTAAAGTGCAGAATATATATATATATATATATATATATATGTGTGTGTGTGTGTGTGTGTGTGTGTACATATATGAATTCATTTGTTTATTTGGCAATGCTGGGGATTAGACTTAGGATTATTACATATGCCAGGCAAGTGCTGTACCACTGAACTATACCCCCAGCCCAGAAATAACAATTTAAAAGAACATTATTGAAGGTTTGCTATGTGATGGATGTTGGGTTAGCAACTTTAGGTACATTTTCTTATTTAATACTCATGGCAGCCTTTTAGATAGGTCCAGTTATGCTCATTTTACAAAGATAACCAAAGACTAAGCAATTTTTCCAAAATCATAGAAATCTGACAGTTTAGCGGACCTCAAAGTCTCAGCCACTTCAGCATTCTTATCTGTGCTCCATCTCTCTACTCCACTACCTTCTGGTCTCATTGACTCCCTCTTTGTTTCTAGAAGTAGCTGAGCTCTTTTTCACCTCAGGACCTTGCTCTTGCTCTTCCTCTGTTCAGAAGGTTCTACAGTTTGGTTCATTCTCATCTCAGACGTCTGTTCTAAATTAATTATCCCCATCTGATTCTATTACATCACCGTGTTTCATTTCCATCATAGCACTTAACACTCTAAAACTATTAATTTCCCTACTAGATCACAAGCAGATCTATCAGTACCTCATTCATTCGCTGAAACTTTCTACTTGTTCTGTAACTGCAGGTGTTATACCAAAAAGCCATCTGTGTTACACCGATAGGCTATCAGACCAATTTTGAGGTATTACTCCTTGTTCCACTCCCTTCTCAGTTTATTACAACTGAGCTTTCTGTGGTTCCAAGGTCTTTCAGTAACCCGCGCCCTGCTTTATTTACCCTTCCTGGTCGGCAGGGAGCGGTATAGTTGGAGGCCTCGTTTCGTGTGCAGGAGCACTCTAGGCGAGACGAGACACCGAGGCGAGAGACGTCAGTAGCAAGGCGGGGCTAAGCGGAAGGGGCGGGACATTCGTAAATCCGCCCCTCCAGGCCGGCTTTCCCCCCTCGCCCCGCCCCTTCCCCCGCCCGGGCGGCCATGGCCATTCCCAGCATCCCCTATGAGCGACGGCTTCTCATCATGGCGGACCCTAGAGATAAGGCGCTTCAGGATTACCGCAAGAAGCTGCTGGAGCACAAGGAGATCGACGGCCGTCTTAAGGAGTGTAAGTGCACATTTCTTTCCACGTAACCTCGTCTTTGTACTCACTTATGCCTCTGACAAAGCGGAGGCCTTTGGCCAAGCCTGGCAACAGAGCCCTGGAGATGAGAAGGCCCCGTCCAGGGACAAGGCGCTTTGTCATCCGGCCCAGAGCTTGGGAAATAGCACCCCTTCAGGTGGGGAAATGGCCCAGTCCAGTCCGAATGACATCGAGAACATCCACGGTTTTGAGATGGGAGTGGGAAAGGATTAGACAAGTGGGGAAGAAGTAGGCCAGGGATGTTTCCCAGGTTTGGGTGCAAGGAGGCAGTGTTGATTCGGGAACCGGGAGAGGGGGAAGGCAGCTTGGCTTGTTGGTGGAGGAGAAAAGGGGTCCAGTGGTCGTAATAACCCTTCTCGTGTTTCATATTTTACTGTATCAAGCATCCAAGCTTTACACCCTGAGAACTTGACGTTTTTCCATAATGCACCATAGAAAAAAGCCTGAGTGATTTAATTAAATGAAGGAAGACCACAACCGTATGTTTCTGTGGAAAACTACATTTGTTAACTTTATTTAGGGTAGAAAACCAAGAGTAATCCAGGTAGGTAGGTGAAGCAATGAGAAAGAGCCTAATTTACTGATTAAATCATTTAGATTTGTAGTTGCAAATCCTGAAGTGTAAGGATGTCTGTCTGTAAGAATGTAACTTAAATTTGCTTAATCAAGTGAGTATTACAGATCAAGAAACAAAAGATATGTTGCTTTTTTTGATAACGTTTATTTTTACACTTGTTACCTATTCATTACCAACGACAAAATTTCTTTTTGGCTTGATATAGTGATGGATATGAAACTTACATAAAGTGAAATAGATTTAAGTAATGCATTAAGATTATTGTTCAATTTAAAACATTTAAATTATGTTGTTTCAGTAAGGGAACAATTAAAAGAACTTACCAAGCAGTATGAAAAGTCTGAAAATGATCTGAAGGCCCTACAAAGTGTTGGGCAGGTAGGTAGTGGAGTCTGGGATGTAGAGGGTGATGGTATTTTTTAGTGGTTGGCAACAAGTAATGCTTTCTTTCCTTTCTTAGATTGTGGGTGAAGTGCTTAAGCAATTAACTGAAGAAAAATGTAAGTGGATTAACTTATTAACAATTTTTGAAATACTTATTACTTTAGTGACAGTAATGCAAGGAGATGCTATTCTTGCATGGATTATGTTTTAACTATTATCTTCTTGGAGGACAGAAATAAAACTAAACTTTCCATTGATGTGGATATACTACACACACGTATTTTTACTATTTTTTCTTTTGTTTTCCTCTTCTAGTTATTGTTAAAGCTACAAATGGACCAAGATATGTTGTGGGTTGTCGTCGACAGGTAATGCCTGATGTTAAGATTGATAAAAGTGCTTTCATATATCTTATATTTACATATTGAGGCAAGCAGATTAGGCAATATGCTCAAAGTCTAAGGTTGATTTCTTCTTACAGAGAAAGTTATTAGCAAAGCATGAATTCAAATTGTGGGTTTTGTCCCCTAGTGTTCTATATATTCTGCCATATCACATTGCTTTAATCAAATTTGCATACTTAAAAATGAAGGAATTTTATAACTGGAAAGTAGATCTTTTATTTTAATGTCTTTTTTGAAGAGGACTTAAAAAGTATTAGACACTATGAGTTATCTATTTAAACACTCAAAAATCTTTCATATTTTCTATATTAGGGGCTAAGTTAATTTTGTTAGAGGTAATTTACATTAGAAAAGGCAAATAGAAACAACTCTAAATTCATGTTAAAGTCATCAAAACCTGCCAACAGATAGCTTAGAATCATTCAGTAGCATCTAAAATTAAGTTATGTTTTATTCTCAAGGAAGTGTTCTAAAGTAGAGCATCCTTATATATTCATTGGAAGAACTTTCTTTGAGAATGTGTTACAACAGGTTCAGGTTTTAAAAACGTTGATAACAACATGCCTATAGAAGAGAATTTAACCCAGGGAATAAATCTCATATGAGGATTTTACCTAGCATATAAGTCAGTAACATTTTTCTAAGTCAAATATTAGATTCCTAATCTGACAAGTGATTTTCCTTTCCCTCAGGGCCCTCTGGATGCCAAAAGTTGGCATTTTTAAGATATTTCATGTTTGCATGAGGGTAAGGGAATATTTGGAAAGTGGAATATATCAAGAACTGTTAGTGTATATATTCCCTATGGATGTAAATAAACATTGAGATAGTTCCATATTGAGTAAAAAAAAAAATTTTCAAGTACCTCACTTATAGGCAATATTTTTGGTTTAGTCCACCTATCCACACCCTCTCCTGTTCCTAGTATTGGGAATTATGTCCAGGTCATTGTGCACACTAGGTAAGTGCTTTACCACTAAGCTACATCCCTAGCCATTTTTATTTTTATTTTTATTTTGAGCTACAGAGTATCATTAAGTTGTACAGACTGGCCTGGAACTTGCTATTCTCCTCCTTTATCGTCCTGACTAGCTGGGATTATAGGTGTGTGCCATGGTTTGTTGGCTAGCTTAATCCATTGTATTAAACCTAATATTTTGTCTATCATCACTTCATTTTAATTAACACTTGGTCCTAAATTTGTAGCTCTTCATAAAATCCCATGGAATGTGGTCAGTAACTTAAAATGTATTGACAAACAGTTTTTAAAACTATCAAATAGCAACTTCATTTCTGAAAAGTAACATCCTGAATCTATTGGATAGAGTTTATCCAATTCTAAACAAGTAAATTACCATGCTTAGATATACCAATAAATTGTTTAGTATGATTCACCTTAATATATAATGTGCCTGGATTAGGGTCTAGCATATAGCAAAGGCATGAATGATAATGTCTGGGTTTGGGCTTGTTTTGCTTGTTATGAGTTTTTTTATTGTTGTTGATTGGTGTTTGGGTTTTTTTTTTTTTTTTCTTTTTCATTCTTTAGTATGGTAATAAAAATTTCAAAGAGGAAACAAAATCCATAAATGCATTTTCCCCAGTTGTCTGTGAATTAAGTAATAAATTTTTTCCCCAAAGTTATACTTCTCAAAATAAATTTAAATGGCGCCTTTAAAATGCACTTTTTCCTTCCCAGAATATTCACCACAGGATTTTTCTATAAATGTTTTAGTACTAGTTCACAAAGTCACTTCGCTTCAGGGCCTGAACCAAAATAATAAATAAAATTATATTAAGTAGTGTTTGAAAGTAAAATTCTAGGGCTGGGGTTGTGGCTCAGTGGTAGAGCGCTGGCCTAGTGCGGGCAGGGCCCTGGGTTCGATCCTCAGCACCACATAAAAATAAATAAATAAAATAAAGGTGTTGTGTTCAACTACAACTAAAAAATAAATATTAAAAAAAAAAAGTAAAATTCTAAAGTCCACTCCCTTTTCAAAAATGAAGGGGGCTACAGTTGTAGCTCAGTAGTAGAGCATTTGCCTCACACATATGAGGCAGTGGGTTCAATCCTCAGCACCACATAAAAATAACGGTATTTTTTTTAAAAGGACGCTATTGCTACTTCAAACTTTGTCAGGGATTTGATGCTGAAATTGCATTCTTCTAATAAGCAGATGGAAATAATTTTAAATTATTACTTCTGTTGGCATGGAGTTTATTATAGATATTTGTGTTTTCTTTGAAGGGTAAAAGTGAGTATTTGGGTAAAAGTGAATGTTAAGTTCTTATTAGAGTGTTATTCTCCATTTTAAATGTTTATAATACCTTTGCTTTATAAAACCAGCTTGACAAAAGTAAGCTGAAGCCAGGAACAAGAGTTGCTTTGGATATGACTACATTAACTATCATGAGGTGGGTTTTGTATTCTGTTTAGTTTTCTTTTATTTTCACCAAGGGAAGGTCTTATCCAAAATATATGCTTCTTGAAATCAATAAATGTTTTGACACTTTTTACCTGTTACTAATTTCTAATTAATTAAGCATCCTTATAATATCACCTACAAACAAGTTATTTGTACTCCATAAGCTGAGAAAATACATCTTTTAAAAGAAAAACAAATGCCTTTTTATTCTAGATATTTGCCAAGAGAGGTGGATCCACTTGTTTACAACATGTCTCATGAGGACCCTGGGAATGTTTCTTATTCTGAGATTGGAGGTCTGTCAGAACAGATTCGGGAATTAAGAGAGGTTAGTATGTCATGCTTTGGTCTCTGAATTACTAATAAATAGTACAGGTTTTGGATGCCTGAAGGGAGAAGCAGAATGAAAAAATATTTTTTGTCCAAATTATTTTTTGTTCTTGAATATTATGCATTTAACACTCTTCTTGAGAGAAGAATAGCATTGAATTTCTAGGCATGAGAAGTATTGGCATTTGTTAATTTGGAGATTATTTGATGTTAGAAATCTTGCTCTTTCTGTGGTGAAGCAGATATATAATCTGGCGTTCTTTCCATCTGTGGTTTTAATTGTCAAAATAGTTATTTTGGTTGGAGCACATTTGGTTTTGGTCTTTCTTTCTTTCTCTGTCTCTCTTTCTTTCTTTCTTTTGTGGTTGTAGATGGACAGAATGCTTTTATTTTATTTGTTTATTTTTATATGGTTCTAAGGATCAAACCCAATGTCTCTCATATGTGCTAGGCAAGCACTCTGCCGCTAAACTGGAGCACATTCGGATAACATGTATTTTATAGTTTTTGCTAGCTTCTCACTCTTACAGTGGAATAAGTTACCTGTGCCTTAATTAGTTTCTTTTGTTAAAGCTGTTTGATGCTATTTAGGAAAAATACTGACTATAGGAATGGTTTAAATCTTTGAAGCTTTTAGGTGAAGGATCAAATAAGGATTGCCTTGCATCACAGCACAGATGGCTTCTTGACAATTATCTGTAAAGCAAATTACAATGTCCTATTGATTTTATCTGAATGTAAAATGAAAATATTTAGGAATGCATGGAAATGATTGAAAAGTCTTACCTCCACTAATTTAAGCCCTAAGCCAGTAGTTCTTAGATTTCAGCACAGTAAATTTTCTGATACAGTTGTTAAAAGGCTGGGGATGTAGCTCAGTGTTAGAGTGCCTGCCAACCATGTTACAAGTTACATATTACATTTTGGGTTTAATCCCTAATGCCTCCAAAACAATTTAAAAATGAAGATTTTTAGGTCCTAAGAATTAGCATTTAAACAAACATTCTAGGTGATTGTGAAACCAAAGTTTTCTTTTTTCGTACTTGAGAAAGTTTGGCTTAAGTGTAAATTGAAAGCCAGTTCTCACCGTCTATTTAGTGAAAGGGCAGCCAAAGGAAGAACAATGGTTTCATGGAACAGAAAACCTGCTTTCTACAGTGATTTTGCTGCATCACTTCTTTAGCATAGGAGCAGAAGAAATCACGTCCATGTTCTTTTCATCTGCAGGCACTTTAAAATTTTGGTTTTTTTATAATTTTCACTTGTCCTAGTCACATCTTGTAGACATAGCTATTCAATAGGTGTTTATCTCACAAGTTACTGATGGTACTGTGAATAATATAAGTTGAGTAGTCAAATCCTCAATTTTTCTATCCTCCATTTTCTTTTTTCCTGTGAATTGCTTTGATAGGATATTGAAAGTTGAACCCATTGTTCTTTTAAGGCTGCTATGGTAAAATTCCAATAGATGAAATTTTATACACAATTTTCTCTTTCAGGAAATTATAATTTATCAAATTCCTTCCCTGTTTCAGGATAATTTTGTGTTATATTCCCACAAGCAAACTAGTATAAAACATTTTTTTCACTGATTTTTTTTTTTTTTGTACCAGGGATTGACCTCGGGTGCTTAACCACTGAGCCACATCCACAGCCCTTTTAATGTTTTGTTTTGAGACAGGATCTCACCAAGTTGCATAGGGGCCTTGCTAAGTTGCCAAGACTGGCTTTGAACTTGCGATTCTCCTGCCTCAGCCTCCTCAGTCACTAGGATTACAGGCATTTGCTATCTACCCTGGCTTCACTGATTTTTTTGTTGTTGATTTTGGGGTATAATTTACATTTGATAAATGCACAGATTTTAAGTGTACATTTGAGTATGTTTTGACATTGTATGCCTGTGTATAATCAAGAATGTAGTTTGTTAAAATAGCCATCATGTATTATATTTCAGAAAAACTTCTATCATAAATGGTTTTATCTAGTGCAGAAATCTAGATGTCTTATGGATTATGTGTATGTCCCACTCTGTTGATATTAGACTTTGGAAATGTCTTTAGTATGCAAGTTACTATTTGAAAACATGCTAAAATGTCTACTAACTTTTTAAGAAACATGCGACTTCTTTTCTAGGTAATAGAGTTACCTCTAACAAATCCAGAATTATTCCAGCGTGTAGGAATAATACCTCCAAAAGGCTGTTTGTTATATGGACCACCAGGTTAGTATTGAATTATTTCTACCTCACCATAAATGAATGAATTAAAGAATAAAAAATAAGGTGGGGATTTAATATGGAAAATTCCAGCCTCTACTACATTCATGAGAGTGGGATAGGAGAGGTGTGTCTATTGCTCTCTGGGACATGCTTAGTTCATTGTACCTCATAATGTATGTATTATAGCGTACCATTTGATTCTAATGAAATATTCCTCAAAGTGTAGTTTACAGATCCAGGTGTCTCTGAGATGCTTTCTTGGGATCTGCAAGATCAAAACTACTTTCATGGCTGAGAATATAGCTATTCAGTGGTAGAGCGCTTGCCTAGTATACATGAAGCCCTGAGTTCCCTACCTAGAATTGGGGTGGCTGGAAAGACTACTTTCATGATAATAACGTGTTATATGTCTCCTTTACCATGTTAATGTCTGTGTTGATGGTGTGAAGGCAATGTGGGTAAAATTGCTTGGATCTATAAATCAATTGTTAGTGGCTTGAAACTGTACTTGTAGTCATTGTTCTCTTAATCGCCACATACTTGCAGTATAACAAAAACTTCCAGTTTTTCTTTAAAATGTTGGTAGAGCAGTAAAAAAAATAATTTTATTAAATTCTCAATATTTTGCATTCTGTGTGATAAAATGGAGAGTATATATACGTACAAAGTATTTCTTCTGCATATAGAAAAGGATATTTGTATTTAGGAAAAGCACTTGGTCAGTTGAGTTGTCAGATGAATGAATTGTTTTTCTTGGAATTCAATTTTTACTTAAAAAAGGATAATTTATAATCTGTGGTCATTCAGACTGGTTATTTCTTACTGGTTGCTCGTTACTGCTAATTCAGACCAGTACACATTTTTTTCTGAAGTGAACAAAGTAAGCTTATCATGTTAAATAAGCTGAAGGACTGGGGGCTTATCATGTTAAATACAGCTGAAGGACTGGCCTTGCATGCATGAAGACCTGGATTTGATTCCCAGCACTGCAAAAAAAGATAAGTAACAAAAAGAAAACAGACGATACCATCTGCTATTAGCCATAAAATTTGAGCCTTCAAGTAAATTAGAACTTTTAAAAACTAATGTCTGGTGTTGCGAGTTTGGCAGCTTTCTAATATGTTAATTCTTAAAGACTTTCTTGAAAAGATGGGCAGTGATATTAATTAATTAATAAGTCTGTTTTTTAGATATTATATAATGAAAAATATCAACATTTGGAAGATTTGCAAAATTTACTAAACCAATAGTTTTCAAAAAACCAAACCTTGATGTTAAAAATATGCGTAGATAAAAGATTAATTAGTGTTCAGGATAAACCATTGCATTTTAATATGTATTTATCATGGTCCATGTTATAAGCAGGATTTGATATATTTTTAAAGAAGGGCTGTTATCAATTCTATTTTCAAATTCTAAATTTTTAGAATGATGACTGACTAACAATTATTGACAAGGATGTGGGGGAAGTGGAACTCTTATACACTGATAGTGAGAATGTAAATTGGTGCAGCCCTTATGGAAAACAGTGCAGACAGTGATACCATGTAATCCACCAATTTCACTTCTGCATATATATCCAAAGGAAATGAAATTCATAGGTTGGAGATACAGCTGCACTCCCATGTTCATTGCAACACTATATACAATAGCTAAGATATGAAAACTTAAATGCACATCAACTGATGAAAAAATGAAAAAAAAATCTACACATACACAAAGGAATATAATTCAGTCCTAAAAAGAAGTAAATTTGATCATTCATAAGAATGTGGATGAATCTAGAGAAGTGAAAGAAGCCAGAAGAACAGCCAAGAAAGATAAATACTACACGATCTCACTTACATGTGGAATTTTGAAAAATTGAGATCATAGAAGTCCCAGAGTAGAATGGTTGTCCCGCTAGGGATGATTTGGCAGGGAGAAGGGTGCAGATGTGCATAGGAGAGATTTAGGTAAAGGGTACAGAGTTCAGTTAAATAGGAGAAATAAATGCTAGTGATTTATAACATGAATGACCATAGTTAATGTATTCCCTTTTTTTTTTTTGCACTGTTGGGTATCAAACCCAGGGTCTTGCACATGGCAGGCAAGTATTCTACCACTGAGCTACACCCCTTCCCCCCACAGCCAGATGTACATTTTTTTTCTTTAAAAATGTTTTAGACATTAAAGTAGACTTTAAATGTTCTCACTGTAAATAATGATAAGTATATGAAGTGATGGATATGTTAATTAGTCTGATTTAGTCATTCTAGTTTATAATCTGTCAGTATCACATTTTAAATATATTCAATTATTATTTGTCAATTGAAATTAAATTACAAATTGAGCACAGTGGTACACACCTGTAATTCCAGTGGCTAAGGATGCTGACGCAGGAGGATCATGAGTTCAAAGCCAACTTTAGCAACTTAGTGAGGCCTTGTTAATAGATAAAATATAAAAAGGCTGGAGATGTGATTCGGTGGGAAAGTGCCTCTAGGTTCAATTCTTGGTACCTAAATAAATAAACAAATATATAAAATAAAATTACAAGGGCTATTTTTAGTAAAATTTATTATTGAGTATAAGTGCTTAAGAATTTTAAATGAAAATTTTATTTAGGATTTAGCTTTGATTTTGGAAAATTTACTAGCCAAAGGATAATATCCTTAAAAGGCTTTTGGAAATTTGTTTTACTTTACATCTGATTAGAACTTCATTTGTCATTCCTAGGCACAGGAAAAACACTCTTGGCACGAGCTGTTGCTAGCCAACTGGACTGCAATTTCTTAAAGGTGAAAAAAAAAATTCTTCAGTAGTTGTTGAAATTAAGTTTTATTCAAATTGCCTTATATTTAACTTAATATTTTTTCTTTAATTAGGTTGTATCTAGTTCTATTGTAGACAAGTACATTGGTGAAAGTGCTCGTTTGATTAGAGAAATGTTTAATTATGCCAGGGACCATCAGCCATGCATCATTTTTATGGATGAAATAGATGCTATTGGTAAGAATAAATCTTTTAAATTTTATTTAAAATTTTTTTAACTGTTATGAGGAAATTTTCTAAAAATTTAAAAGAACTTTTCCCTTCTCTTAACTTGTAATTGTAACTTGTATGAAGTAGATAACAGTGAACTGGATATTATTTTTTAAAGATTAGAAAGTTTAACCAATTTTAGTAAATAACCTTTGACATTGACAAAATGGAAAATATCATACCAAAATCATTTTTAATTTTGTTAGTATAATTCTTATCATTTAATTTTTATGTTAATATTTTAACCCTAGACACTATTACTATTTTATTTTCTTAAACAATGGTTAGAGAAAATGAGTAATGCATATAAATTTCTAAATCTGTTATTTTAGGTGGTCGTCGGTTTTCTGAAGGTACTTCAGCTGATAGAGAGATTCAGAGAACCTTAATGGAGGTAATATTTGGTACAGAAGGTTCATAAAGAAATGAGTAATTATCAAATGAACAACTGAACATTCCATATTTGAAGGTCTAAATATGTATTACAGTTTAAATGAAGAATTAGAAGTAAGCTGGGCATGGTGGTGCACTCCTGAAATCCTAGTGACTCAGGAGGCTGAGGCAAGGAAAGTTGCAAGTTGGAGGTCTCACAAAACACAAAACAGTGGTGAGACTATAGCTCAGTGGTAGAGCACATGGGTTCCGTCCCCAGTGCTGGGGGAATGGGGGAAGGAAAGAAAAAGAAAAGTGAAATTTGAAAATATGGACAGGAATGAAAACATTTCTGTGTCAAAGTAAGAAAATGACTATTACTGAGGGGGATGGAGGGATAGGGAAAGGTTGATCAATGGATACTAAGCTGCAGTTAGGAACAAGAAGTTTTGTTGTGCTATTGCATGGTAGGATGACTGTAAATAACAGTTACATACTGTATATTTCAAAAAGATGGGAGAAAAGAATTCTGAATATTTTATCCTTAAGGAAATAAATGTTTAAGAATATAGGCAAAAATAAGGTGATTACAACATTCCATTTGATATGCATTTGTATTGTTGTATTTTTTGAGCACATCAACCATTCAGATGTTTATATTGTATATTGAGCATCTTATATTATGAATGTGATCTTGTGCTAGCTTTTTAAGGACATTTTATGACTCGCAAACATATTAAAACTTGGCAATAAGTATGTTATAATTACATCTGAGATGACTCAAAATTGTTCTTTCCTCTCTTGCTCTCTTGCTGAGATTGAGAAGCAACTGAAATGGTTTTGATAATTGAGGTAGATGATGGAACGGAGTTGTACACATAAAGCCTTTCCCCACATTTCTCTTTTTCTGGTCAAGATTCTGTGGATGTGGTGGCATCATCCCAAATACATTTTTCCACTTCTGCAGATAAGGTAGAAACCAGGTAGTCTAGGCAATGCAATGTCAGATTTTTCTCATTAGGGGAATTTGAAATCACTTTTTATAAATTAATTCTGAAGTACTCAGAAGATATAAAATATTTTTGAATTGACTTATAATGTCTCTTAGAAACTTTAAACTTAACTGTTTTAAAGCAACACAGCTGGGTGTACTGGCACACACCTGTAATCCCAGCAGCTCTGGAGGCTGAGGCAAGAGGATCTCAAGTTCAAATCTAGCCTCAGCAATTTAGCAAGGCCCTAAGCAACTTATCAAGGCACTGTCTCAAAGGAAAAAATAAAAAAGGGTTGGGGAAGTGACTCAGTAGTTAAGCACACTTGGGTTCAATTCCCTAGTACCAAAAAAAAAATCGCAAAACAAAACAACAGAAATGTTAGTTTTATTCATGGAAATGATAATGTCCTCAGCTAACATATATTGTCAGTCTACCTATATTTAGAGTTTGTTAAATGTAGTAAGGTTTTCAACATTTATTGAAGAAAATTTTATGAATCAAAGGAAATGTTTTTGGTATTTGTCAATATTTCTATGTATGGTTCAATTATTTGAGAAGATACTTTATGGCTTGTCAGATTTATAGGGAAAGTCTGTATTCACATATCCTAATGTAAATGTTATGTCTGATATATTGGGCATTTATATGTTAGATTTTATAAAAGTAGAATTTCATCAAATGACCATTCTCAACATCACATTTCTATCTGTAAGCAACATATTTGAAGGTATTAGACATTAAAATGTATGTGCTAATTTGTAACAGTATGTTTTATAAATATGTCTTATAATTTTTTAATGTTTTCAGTTACTGAATCAAATGGATGGATTTGATACTCTGCATAGAGTTAAAATGATCATGGCTACAAACAGACCAGATACGCTGGACCCTGCTTTGTTACGTCCAGGAAGATTGGATAGAAAAATACGTGAGTTAAAGTTCTTTGCTTGCGGGGCTTGGGGTTGTGTCTCAAGCTGAGCATGCTCGCCTGGCATGCGCAGGGCGCTGGGTTCGATCCTCAGCACCACATAAAAATAAAATAAAGATTGTATCCACCAAAAACTAAAAAAGAAATTAAATATTAAAAAATTCTCTCTCTAAAAAAAAAAGTTCTTTACTTGCTATCTGTTTTTACTTTGTCTATGTCCATTTCTCTTTTTATAACTTCCCTCACTCCAACTTAATTTTAAAAATGTACATACATATAAATAATTTATTATAACTTCTTATTTTCAGATATTGATTTACCAAATGAACAAGCAAGATTAGATATATTGAAAATCCATGCAGGACCCATTACAAAGCATGGTGAAATAGGTAAGAAAATAACCTATTTATTATGTATTTACATTTTGGTAAATGAAGCAAAAATAGTGTTGAATATTGATAGTCTACCAAATTTACCTTCTCTTTTCTTTTTTTGGTAACAAGGATTGAGCCAAGGGGCACTTAATTGAGCTATATCCCCAATCCTTTTTAAAATTTTTTTATTTTAGAGACAGGGGGCTTCTCTAAGTTGCTGAGGCTGGCTTTGAACTTACGATCCTCCTGTCTCAGCCTCCTGAGCCACTGGGATTACAGGTGTGAGCCAATTAGAAACACATAAAAAGTAGGGATAAGAGTTTAATAAACTTCTAATCACCAGGTACTTACCACCCAACTTCAATGTTTATTTAATTTTTTTTTAAAGATTATACAGCCAGAGCACTTTCAAAAAAGTTACCTGTATAATTATGTAGTTGTCAGTATGGTATATGTGTAGATTGATTTGAGGGTTGGAGGTTTATTCTGCCTTTTAAATTTAGTTTTATTTTTGAATATGTATATTTAGCAGCAAAAAAAAAAATATATGAAGAATATTCAGGTAATTTTTATTGATGAACCACTTTATTTTCAATAATGATTAATTCTTGGCCAGTCTTCTTTCATCTGTAACCTCTTCCTCCTTTTGGTTTTTAAAAATGCATATTCTAGGCATTATATCATTTTATCTATGAATATTTCAGAATTAAGATAACTTTTTATAGTCTGTTGAGAAGAAGGTGTAGAAGGACAAGGATAAAAGCAGGAGACTCAGGAAATTATTTCAATAATCCAGGTAAGAGATGGTAGTCACAGGTGGTTACAAAGCCTTTTTTCCTTCCAACTGTATTGAGTTATAATTGACAAAATCTTTAAAAAAATGATGAGACTCTGGGTTCCTTTTGAAAGTAAATGTGACAGGCTTGTTAATTGGATGTGTGGTGGGAGCTAAATAAGAGGACCAAGAAAGACTTAAGGTTTTAACCCAAGCAGCTGGAAAGATGGACATGCCAGCAACTAAACTTGAAAAGACTTGGCTAGGTATGTAGCTCAGTGATAGAGAACCTTGCCTATCATGTTCAAAGTCCTAGGACTTATCTCTAGCATTTTAAAAGAAAAGAAAATAAAATTTAAAAGACTTGGATTTAAAGGGGAGAATAAGAAATTTTATTCTGGTTGTATTAAATTTGAGATGCCAATTAGATTTTCAAATAAAGATATTGAGTACTAATTCTTTATGCATCTGTAATTCATTGAAGCAGTCTGTGCTGAAGATATAAGTGTGGATAATAGCATAAAAACATAGTTTGTGAAGTCTTGCAATTTGATGAAATTTCCAAGAGATTGAATGTGGATAGAGAATAGAAGAGAATGAAAGACTGAACTTGGATAATTCTGAGATTAAGAAGTTGAGATGAAGAAATATCAAAGGAGTTTGAAGGTACATTCACAGAGATAGGAGTAAAACCAGGAGCTGATGGTGTTCTGGAAGATAAATGAAGAAAGGTTTTAAGGATGGACTGATCCCCTATCAAATCCTAGTAGCTTTTGGTAAAAAGAATTCTGAGAGTATACCTTTGGATGTAACTATGTGAAAGTGTGGAGTGAAAGCTTACTTAAAATGCCTTTCAGAGAGATTGGGAGAAGATGCATTAAATTTAGATATTTAAGGAGTTCTGTTCTACAGAGGGGAATTGTACTAACTAGGAAGGGAAAAGGAGACAAGAATTTGGCGGAGTTTTTTTTTTTTTAATGGTAGTAGGATGAACTGAGAGAGAAACCAATAATGCATTTTACTTGAATTGGAGTTGGCCCTATGAGCATACTTTTCATTTATGAAAGTGGAGAAGAGGCAGAATATATAGATGCTGATGATGACAGCTTCTCAGGATGGGACCTCATGAAAGTTTTCTTCTGAATGCTTCTATATTCTCAGTGAAATAGAATGCAAGCAGAGTGAAGATGGGAAAATACTATTAGAGATTTGAGGACAGAGCAGATAAAAATTACATCTATTTAAATAAGGGACTAGTCTAGGGTAGAAGGTAGCAAACCTGTGACTTAGGAGCCAAATTCTTTCTGCCTTCTGTTTTTGTAAGTAAAGTTTTCTTGTAGTAACAACCATGCCATTCATTTATGTTATTTATGAATGTTTTTCCACAAAACCAGGGTTGAATGACCATAAGGCCTGCAAAGCATAAAGTTGTCACGAGCAAGTATTTACTATCTGGCCTTGTACATCCTTTAGGCTAGGGGAATCTAATATATTTGCCAGGAAGCTTTAAAAAATAAATAAATAAATAAATAAATAAAACCAAACCTTTAAAAGATAATGGTCTTCAGTAATTACAAATAATTGATTATTCTTGTTATTTCCTTGCTCCTGTGAGAGTGTTGAGGTGGAAAGAATGGTCTAAATAAAAGATGTCAAATAATAGGTTTCTTCCACAAATAATGAACTCTTGGTAGGTGCAAGATAATGGGCTACCATTGGAAATTCCTGCTTTGAGGAAACTTATGATGAACTTGAACCTGTTGGACACTAATTAATGAATATCTAGATGATTGCCTACCTTATATTGCCTCATTAAAAAAGTATCTTGTTAAAGTTATTCAAATCACAGTGCCAATGCTTTTTTATTTCTCTTCCTATTTATCAAATCCATGCCTGCCACCCCAAACCTATAGCTCTTTAATTCATGTCTTTCAGGTGGGTTAGAGAGCCCACTTAACTGTTATTGTTTTCCCAGGTCTAATACTACTTGAAGCTTAACCAGAAATGTCATAAAATTATGTCTGATGTCTGGTTTTGATATATTTTACATTTGGTTTATGTGATTACATTATTAAAATTGGTTTTGAATAGTACAGATTTACTCAAATTAAGGTATTAATGAGTCATAGCATCACAGATCTGAAGTTCATTGTGCATAGTTGTTTCACTGCATAAAAATGGTTAAGATGCTTTCAGATCTTGATGATATTTTTCTTGATTTTAAAGTTTCAGAGATATATCTATTTCTTCTTGGTGCTAGTTAACAAAATTTTTATTTTTCAGTTGTTAATATTGTGGAATGTTTATGTATGTCAGAGTCCACCCTTTTGTCATGTATATATAAAAACAACAAATAAAAAATATTGTGGAATGTTTATGGTAATCCATAGCTGCTCAGATTCAAAGTAAGCTCTTCATTTTCATTTTACATGTAGTCATAAAGCAAAAAAGGTCTTTCCCCACCTTTTTTTTTTAAATACTAATTTCCAGTGTTTTTTCGTAAATAGATTATGAAGCAATTGTGAAGCTATCAGATGGCTTTAATGGAGCAGACCTGAGAAATGTTTGCACTGAAGCAGGTAAGAGTGTAGAGCATACTTTTGCTATTGCTTTTAATATTTTAAATTTGTTAAAACTGTTTTGAGTTTCAAAAACCATAGGCTGCACCTTGCAAGGATTGAGTGTATGCTGTTCTTTTGGAAATTGATTTCCAGTTATCAAGAGAGAACAGGACGAGTGAGATGGAAAGAGAGAAAGCTAACATATAAGGATGCACCATTGAGGCAGCTTCTGTAGACAAGGAATATTGGAATTTGAGGAGACTTTAAAAGAACATACAGAGATTAACTGACAGAAAGATGGGAGATTAGAACATTTATTACTAGCACTTCTCCCCCACTGAATGAAATTTTCCCTTGGAGGTGTTAACTCCTTTGTACTTCTGAAGCCTACAAATGGAGTGTAGGAAGGCAGGCACGTATAGAACATGAGCTACTTGAAGTAAGTCTTGCTGCAGCCCGGCTGGCTGGGTAAACTAACTGGGGTGGGGGGGGTGACGAGCAGCTTGTGTAGATTGATACAGCAGGAGTAGGAGCCGTTTATTGTAGGACAGGATCGGTATTTATACATTCCACACAGCTTATCTTAATTAGCATAAACTAGATACATCAGTCAACCAATAAGGAATCTCCACACTTAATGGCTCGCTGGCGTTACTTCACAAACCACTCCCTCTGGCAAAATGCCAGGCGCCATCCAGACTTGTTTACAGACCCTAACATTTCTCTGGCAAAATGCCAGGCTCCATCCTGACTTGTTTACAGACTCTAACAAAGTCTGAGACTACAGAATTGTCTATTACACCTGAAGCTAGGATTAGGATGGGCCAGCACCAAAGGTATGTGTTGCAAAATGGATAACATCTATTTTCTGATACTAGTCTATAAGCAGTAATCTTTGAAAGATTGACTTATGAATTCTGTAATGATGCAACTTGTATAAACAGCATTTTTAAAATATAATTATTGCCCTGGATCATGTGATACATTTTTATTTCTGATACCAAGTAACTTTAAAACCCTACCTAGGGCTGGGGTTGTAGTTCAGTGGTGAAGCACTTGCTTCATATGAATGAGGCACTGGGTTTAATCCTCAGCACTACATAAAAATAAATAAATAAAATAAAGGTATTGTGTCCATCTAAAACAAAAACCCTACCTAGAGTCATTTAGTCTTTGTTTTCCATATAGAATCTTAAAGTCCAAAACCAAATTTCTACAGTAGTTTTTATAGTTAACTAACTACATGGGTTGTAGGTGAGCTACTTCTTAAGTATTATAGTATGCGATTTCCTCTTGCCTTTCATATCATGTTTAATGCTATATTAACATTTCTGTAGGAATGTGTTTATGGGTATATTGTGTCTCAGTGCCTGGATCAAAGATCGGTAAGGTCACAGTCTGTCATTATAAATCACCGTAAATCATGCTCATAAAGACTTGTCAATAAAAATATCAAGAGACAAACTATCATATGATTTGAACTACTTAGAGTAATTTATGACATTCTTTTTCTAAAATCCATACCAGATCAAATTGCTCTCAGAAGATAGTGTTGATGAAATTGTAATCAAAACAAAAGCAATGCTGTGATCTTAAAGGTTGATGCTATCAAATTTTGATAGGTACTTTTTTTTCACAAATTCTTTACATCTGTATATATTTATTACAAATGCAATTTTCTGGAATATTTTTGACCGATGAATGCAGAATCCAAGTCAGTGACTGTAGTAGTAGACATTTTTCTTAAAATACATTTTCATGGTCAATTTTGTGCTACATTGTTGAAGACTGGTCAATTTCCAAGAAGTGTTACTGAGACCTTCCTTTAGAACTTAGAAAAGTCTGTAGTTGCAAAGTGGGCTGATACCATTTTTGGGTCTTCTAGTGCAGCTTCAGTGTTTCTGGGCCATCAGGGAGTTTTAGAACATTTCCAAAAACTTCTAAAGAAGGCTGGCTTATAAGGTAATGGTGATGCCCTAGCTTCCTGGCTATCATAGAGCATCCTGTGTAGGGACTGGCTGTGGAAAAGCCTTCTTCAGCCTTTCCAGGTACTTGTCAGTGATTTTAATTCTGGTGAATCCTGCATCTCTGAAAGTTTTACTGTATCACTCACTGTCATTCCATGATGTTTGTGAATCTCTCAGTTGAATTAGAATATATTTAGTGAGAGGATATCCTCCTTGAGGCTTGGAGGCTCCTCAAAGCTATTAATGAATGAATCCTTGTGGAGACATGTAAATTTTTCTGAAGGCTCAATATATCATAGGATACCTTCCTAGTCATTCAGGTAGGCCCTGGCACAGGAAGGGACATAGAATATTTCAGGAGCTTGTGCTATGAAAATGCAGTAGACAGTAGAACTGGATCTTCAAGGCAGCTGTGGGTATGTATATCTAATGGGAAAACCTCATAGTCATCTTCTGTAACTGGACACCTGTGTTTCAGAGATCTTGGTCCATAGATGGCCAACACTATTGTTCTGGCCTGAGGTGAAGCAGAGCATCATAGTTGAAAGGTGTGGAGGAGAAAAGCATCTCAGGACATGACATTGAGGAAACAGAGCTTACAAAAAAATTTTTAACTGATATATATATATATATATATATAAACATAAACATTATACATATTAACGGGGTACTATGTGATGTTTTAATACATATTCATTGCATAATGTTTAGATCAGGTTCTCTCAAACACTTTTCATTTGATTATGATGAAAGCATTTAAAATTCTTTTAGCTTTTGAAACACACAGTATCTAATTGTTACTTATAATCACTTATTGTATAATACCACAACAAAACTTCTTATTCCTAACTGTAACATAGTACTCATTAATCAACCTTTCCCCATCCCTTCCTGCCCACTATTCTCCCTAGCCTCTGGTAACCACCATTCTATTCTCAACTTTTATGAGATGAATTTTTTTATATTCCACATGAGATCATGCGATACTTGTGTTTCTGTGCCTGGTTTGTTTCACCTAACCTGTTGATCTCTAGTTCAATCTGTATTGCCTCAAATGATAGGAATTTATTCTTTTTATGGCTGAATACTGTTCCATTATGTATGTGTGTGTGTGTGTGTGTTAGCATATTTTCTTTGATGGACACTTAAGTTGTTTCCATTTCTTGATAACTAAATAGTGCATCAATAAATATGGGTGTGCAAATGTCTCTTTGATATACTGATTTCATTTCCCTTGGATATATAATCAGTAGTGGGATTGCTGGGTCATATGGTGGTAGTTCTATTTTTAATTTTTGAGGAAACTCCATACTGATTTCTATAAATAGCTTCACCAGTTTACATTCCCATCAGTAATGTACAAGAGTTCCTTCTCCTCATCCTTGCCAGCACTCATTATCGTTAATATTTTTGATAATAGCCATTCTTACTGGGATGAGATAATATCTAATTGTGGTTTTGTTTTGCATATTTAAAAAATTTCTTATATTATTTCTGACAAAGAATTATAACTTCTGTATGGATTAAAATTTTAGCATTTGTTTTTGTGTGACTGGAGATTGAAACCTGTGGTACTCTACCACTGGGGCTATAGTTCTTTTTAATTTTTGAGACAGGTCCTTGCTAAGTTGCTGAGACTGTCCTTGAACTTGAGATCCTGCCCCAGCCTCCTGAGAATTTGGTATTACAGGAGTATGCCACCTCATCCAGAAAAATTTTGATTTTTCTGGGGAACATATTTACATCTGGAGATATAAGAATTCTTGTTTGGTTTTCTTATTAGACTTTAAGCCTTTTTTGTTACATATTTCCTTAAGTTAATATATACTTGCTTCAATTATAGTTTTCTTTTCCATTCAAGTCCTAACATTAACATGTGTTATTTATGTCTTTTGCAGATTCACTCATTCTCTAAAAAGTGATTTGAAAACAGTCATACACATAAGATTTATACAAATAGCTTACCTAATTTAGTTGTAGCTTTCTAAGCAAGTTTTGAAACTTGTCTATTAAAAAAACAAAACAGTCATTTCCTTTCACCTGATTTTAGGACAACATAAAATGAGCATTTCAAAGACTCTTCATATTGAAATCCAGAAAGAAATGATAGGGAGTAACCCTTGAAATCTTCTATTCTAACCTTCTTATATTCTTGACAATTCAATTCAAGCAGATCCTCAATGGAAACACGTTAGTATGATTCATGTAATTCGTAAATAATGACACCATATCAGCTATAGTTCATCATGAAAGTATGATTGTCTCAAAATCCAGGACCCATAACTATAACATAACTACTGTTAGAAAAGAAACAAAAAAGTTTACTCCTTTGTCAAGTAGTATTTGACGATGGGTTAATGGTTCTGATTTTTTGTTAAAGCTTATTGTTTGCTTCTTATAATTTCCCATTCTCTAAGCCTTTGATTATTTGCAATGAATGGCTATGAAAATTACTGGAGGTGTTTTGTTTTATTCATAAATGTACTTCTTTCTTCCAAAGAATCACTGCCTATAGCATTAAGAAACTAATGCTGAGAATGTATTTGCTGTTGATAGTTTTGGGGTTTTTTTGCTTTTGTTTTTACTAAGAGCTAACATTGGATATAGAGACCATGTGAGCCAGATTTTAAATATTCATGTAATTATCTCATCTTTTTAAATTTAATATATTTTTTAGTTGTACGTAGACAGAATACCTTTATTTTATGTGGTACTGAGGATTGAACTCAGTGCCTCATGCATGCTAGGCGAGCAAAGGCTATAAGCGCAGCCCCAACTGTCTCATCTTTTTTATTTGAAAACTGATGCTCACCATAGCTGTGGAATTCAGTTGAGCAAGAATAGTTTTTAACAAATTAGAACTACTGACTCAGAAGCAGTAAATCTAGTTTCCTTCATATTTATTCCATAGATTTACATTATTTAGTTTTCTTATAATGAATATGTAGTTCACATATGATATATAGCAATCATGTTGTTTATTCTTCACAGGTATGTTTGCAATTCGTGCTGATCATGATTTTGTAGTTCAAGAAGACTTCATGAAAGCAGTCAGAAAAGTGGCTGATTCTAAGAAGCTAGAATCTAAATTGGACTACAAACCTGTGTAATTTTATTGTAAGGTTTTGGATGGCTGCATGACAGACATTGACTTAATGTAAAAATAAAGTTAAGGAAAATAATGTACGTATTGGCAATGATCTCATTAAATGTTAATGAATAAAATATGTATGAGTAACATAAAAATTAGTATGTAATTCAGTAATTCAACTTTTTAAATTGACACAGAAGAAATTTGTATGTTTGTTAATGTTGCATTTATTGCAGCAAAAGTTACAACAAGAAGAGTGTTGAAGCTTTTCGTATTTGCCATGTGAGCATTTTGTAAAACACTGAAAAATAGTTTGAGATAGTAGTACAAGAGAGCATTTCTTAAGACTTATTATATCATTTGTTTTCCTCATTCTAACAAAGTTTAATAAAATCTGTTTGATTTAGTTCCACCTATATTCTTGTCATTTCTAAGAGTATATTTACTGTGTTCCTTTGGGTCCTTCAGACGTAAACTTTATTTTAGTGTTTTGGTGGGTATTTGAGATTGAACCCAGGGGCACTCTATCACTGAGCTAGTGTGAACCTAGCTCTTTTTATTTTTTCATTTGAGACAGGGTCTTGCTAAGTTGCCCAGGCTGGCATTGCACTTGCAATCCTCCTGCCTCAGCCTCCCAAGTCACTAGGATTATAGGTGTGCAGCATCATGCCCAGCAGTAAACTTTATTTTGATAATTCAGATGATGTTGCAATTCGTAGTGGTTTTTTTTTTTTTTCCTTTTTCTTTTTCTTTTCTTTTTTTGTTACTAGGGGTTGAATTTGAGGGTGCTTAATCACTGAGCCACATCTAGCCCTTTTTATTTTTTTAAAATGAGATAATCTCACTAAGTTGCTTAGAACCTTGCTTAGTTTCTGAGATTGGCTTTGAACTTGCAATCCTCCTGCCTCTGCCTCTTTTGCCACTGGGATTACAGCCATGCACTACCACACTCAGCAATGTTGGTTTTAAAATTTTATTTTAAAGTTGTATTCACATTATAAGTGTCATCTTTGATATATACCATCTTTTTATATATACCATGAATGGGCATGTCTATATATACTTCCTTCAAGAAAGTATTTACTCTCTACCTATTGTGATTAGGCTATTTGATAGTTAATTTTAAAAGTACATAAATAAACATTCATAAAAATTATAAGATTATGATTTAAAGTAATTAATTAATAAATGTGACTTGTTTGTCTCTGTGAGATAATAGTTCATTTTTGAGAATGTTACAGTTTACATCCTCTTCCCAGAGAAATTCACACAATTTTATATGTACTATAATTTTAGGAGATTTATTATTTCCTAAGCTCACCCTTGGACTCTGTAAGTATCCATGAATGCAAGGCTAAGAGTGTCTAATGTAGGGAATGTTGATGTCAGAAATGCTCAAAAGTTACCTATGTACAATTTTTTTTCTCGTATCTGGCAATAAAATTTTAACATTAAACAAGAAAATCATCTTTGGGGATTAATTTAGATTATAATTAAAATTGCTGTTTTAAAAAAGACAACTTCAGTTTTACAAACACTAAAGAAGTGATGATAAATGGCCTGGTTAATTATAAACGCATTCTTCAAATTAAATACAGTACTGGGAGGGTATTATGTGCCTTTTATAATATTTAAAGGTGGAGAACAGTTTATATGGTGATTGGGAACATGAGACACTCAGGCTGGCCATGTAACACTCAAATTGCTCAACAGTTCTGTCTATGGGCAGTGCATTGCATACATATGACTATAAAAAGTAATAAAATGCAAGGGTTGGTCTAAGTCAATTTTCCTGTAATCCCTTCACTTTTATCTATTGTGGTTGGCATTTTGTTAATTTTGTCTATTTACTTTTATGCTGGTGGTAGTTTTATTTAAAACAACCAGGTAGGTGTATAAATCTTTGCTTTTCTACCTTGGGATCCATCAATCTGTTTAAAACAAAAAGGATGGTAGTATCTCCCTAGGCCTAGAGAAAGTGTATACCTAACCCTTATTAACAATGTGATATTAACTTTAGCGGAAACTCCTTTTTAAAAGATTCTTGAAGTCAAGTAGTTTAATATTATCAAGGGAGAAACCTTACTGTATTATGTATTATTGAGGGTGAATTTATCTGTTTCGTTTTCAATGACTTTTTATTTGTCATTTTTGGGATTTTTGTAGGTAAACAGTTATATTCCCTAGCATTCTTGGAAGTCCACAATTCTAATTACTTGTTTAAAGGTGACAGGTGTTTCTTTTTCTGGCAGCATAACATGAATTTGAACTCTTACAGTTTGGGTTATAACTTCACCACGAAATGCAGAATTCTGAGAGGAGCAACTAGTTCTCCTTTTGGGTGCCAGTTTCTCATGTGTAGGATATGTTGACTGTTAGGGGACCTGCGTCCTGTCTGCAGAGGTAGGGCTGGTTCTGAGCATCTACTTACCCCGGGCCTGCGTTCGCCCCCTCCCACTGCAGCCCGTCCCTCCACGCGGGCCAAGCCACGGCCGAGCGCCCCGAGGCCCCGCCCCTTACGTCTGCGCTCTCGCGAAGGGGCGGGGCAGGGCGGCGGCGCGCTGACACCTGGCGGCGGCGGAGGGCGGGCCGTAGGAGAGCGTGGGCAGGGATTGGCTAGGGCAGCGTGGGTGGGGGTGGAGGAGGGAGAGGAGACGGTTGTAGGGCTCGAGCCAGTGCCGGATCCTGGGCTGCCAGGGGGGCGCGGAGATTGTGGGAGGGAGACAGCAGCAGCATGGCGGCTGGGAGGGAGCCGCACAGCCCATCTTTTCCTCACTGTCGCCGCCGCCGCCACAGGAGTCACTGCGACCCTCTAGTCTGCGTCTGTTAATTGTGAGCCGCCGCCCATCGGACAACCCTACGCTCCACCGGCCCTCTTTCTTTTCGCCGCCACTGCCAGCCCGAGGGTCTGGCCGGCAGGGTAACTCATCCTCCCACCCCACCCACCAGCCCGCGGGTCCGGACCATGGAGGACGTGAAGCTGGAGTTCCCTTCCCTCCCACAGTGCAAAGAAGACGCCGAGGTAAGTCTGTCCGGCGATTGCCGCGCACAGGCCTCCCCCGTGGCTCTTGCCGAGGTGCGACCCCAGGCCCCAGCGGTCGCAGCCTCCACCTCGGTGGGAGCGCCGTGGCCTCCGAGGGCGTCCCGGGACCTCTGGCGGGACCTCCGTCTCAGAGTCACGGCTCTGAGCAGTTCTGTCTCCTCCGAAGACCCGGTAGGCGGGTAGCGTCTGGTGTACTTACTGTGATGGGATGAGGAAAAGCAATCCCTGATCCCCCGGACTCGGTGTTTGAGGATTTAGTCGGAGTAAGGTTCATCATTTTTGCCAGAGCAGTGGAAAGCTTTGTTCCTTTTTCTCTTCTCTTCTTTTTTTAAGCGACGGGTAAAGTTGTTTTTAATCTCAGCTTGAGAAATGTCTCCGGTGTCAACTATTCACTGTGGGGACACATGGATTCACACGTGGGATAGACCTGGGGCCTATACTTTGGAAGTGCGTCCTCAAATAGTTTCCCAAAGTATTTATTTGTTTTTAGGAAAAACAAAAACAAAAAACTGACTAAGAGAATAAAATATCACAAAGCTAGCTCATTTAATCAGAAGTATTGCCTTTAGAGGAAAGTTAATATTGAGAGTAAAGTTGTTTATACTTTGGTCTCCTGATATCCTAATTCGGGTTTCTTTTTACTCCACCCTATTTCTAAAGTTTGTATTAGGATTTGTTTTTTCCATCTGTTGCAAATATTTTATGGTATTGGAAAGTATTAGAATTTTCTGGAGTTAAATTCTAACAGGATAAGGATCTCAGTTATGCTTTGGTAGGAACAAGAAAGAAGTCTAAAATTCCTGGAGTTTTAAGTATATTATAGGTAATTGGGAAAATAAAGCCCCCTTTTGTTAGGAGAACATTTGGTTTATTACAGATACTCATTCTTGATGTTCACTTTTTAATTTGGAGGCCCCCCTTACTTGTGGTAGTGATGCTTAGAACTACATGTTTTAAGACCCAAGAAAAATTAAATTACACTTTTTTTTAAACATATAATAATATGAGGAGTATGCTTTTATAGCCTCAAAATAATGCAGTTATGTCAGTGCTTCAGACAACTTTAGAAAAAATGTACTGCATTCGCAATTTAAAGAAATTGCAGTTGACTGAAAAAGTCTTGTCAAGCTAATATCATATCACAAAACACAAGAGGACTTTGGAATCCTAATTCTTAATTCCTATTGTTTTTAATACATTGCAGTTTTTCCCTGCCCTAATCCTCAGAATTTGCATTTAATCTTTTGTTATGTATATAGTATGTCTAACCCCTGAAAAAATTATAAATTCTTACTGGGAATATACCTTTCTTCTTTCCTGTAGGGATACTGTTGAAAACATGCTGTTTTTCTCTATCAGTTATTTGGGGGATTTTTCTCCACATCATTTCTTTGGCAGACATCACCTGGGTGTCCTGTAATTCAGATTTAGGATTAGATTCCACAGTTTAATGGCTCAGTCCCACAAGACTGCCTCTATCCTTCTCATTTCAGATGCCAATTACAAGTAGTATTAATTTGCTAGGATGGCTCCCAGAACTCAGGGAAATGTATTTACTGGTTTATCATAATAGATATTACAAAGGATATAGATCCCGGAACAGAGAGACACATAGGGCAAGGTATGAAGGAAGAGGACACCATCTCTTTGACACCCCTGTTCAGCAACCTAGATCATCAGTATTCCTTCAAGATTTATCACAGAGCTTAATCTTCAGCTGCCTTCCACCTTAATCCACTAACTTCCCAGAAGTTAGTGGATTAAGCTAAAAGTTCTGCAGGCCCCAATCATGTAGTCTTTCTGGTGATCAGCACTGCTCCTCCCCCACCTCAGGGGCCCCATCTTAAGTCAGTTTATTAGTATAACTTTGATCACAAGTGGCAGGAGAGCAAGCAATAAGTCAGGGAGGGAAAGGAAAGATAGTGGTATTGAGATTGAACCTCACTATTATGTATTATTGTAATGAACCAATAAAAAAAGGGGGGGCATTATGAATAACAAAAGACACTATCAGGAAAATTAAAGGGTTTTTATGGAGGAATATGCCCAAGAATCCTATGTATTTCTTCTTATACAGGAGGTTGATGCTTAGAGCCTAGTTGACAGTGATATTGTCTACTGAAAGCCAGTTCAAACTTTATATCATTAGATGTTTGATCTATATTGATTGCAGGTAACAAAAACCAACTCAGACTAGATTGAACAAAAGAAAAGTAATGGAATCCAAAAAGGTAGTGGTATAAGCTAGTATCAGGGACTTAACAAAACCCAAGTATTATACTGCATCATAACTACCTTTGCCTTTTGTGAGTCTCTGCTTTCTCTATGACTTCTTCAAGGTGTAGAGCTTGGTTGTCAGCTGCTCTGGGGTGT